ACTCTTAGTGCTTTGAAAGTGCTCGGTGCGGAAACCGATTCTTGGGATCCACTCGTGGTATATCTCGCGGAAAGAATGCTTGACTCCAAGACGCACCGCGCGTGGGAAAGCAATCAAGGAAGATCAACGGCTTTGGATAAATTTCATGATTTCGAGGAGTTTCTCTTGTCGCGTATCCGCGTTCTCGACGCAGTTGAGAGGCGCACGGAACTCGCGAAAGTTCCCGAATCTAATTCGAAAGGCTCGAAGGGGTTAAAGACAGCGACTGCCAAAGCTCACGCCGCGACCGGAGCTACCCTCAAATGCTCGTTATGTGGCGCGAATCATTACATCTCGGCGTGTCCGACCTATCGTGGTAAAAGTCCGCAGCAGCGACGAGAATTTATATCGCAAAACCAGTTGTGCTTTAACTGTCTCGGGCCGCATCGAGTCTCTGCATGCCGCACAACTAAACGCTGCCTAACATGCGGACAACTTCACCACACTTCTATACACGGAACGTCTCAGATCGCTGCTCAAGAGGAAGCTGCTGGTCAGAGCTCAACCTCCAAGGGACAGCCGTCTCAAAGTCTCTGCACCGCCGTGGTGAACACAGCCTCCAACGGGCGCGCGGAATCTAATGCGGAATCGAACAAAGGATCGGAGTTCGCGTTGCTCGCCACCGCCAACGTGATAGTGACTAGTGCTCGCGGAGATAAAATTGTGGCGCGCGTTCTCCTAGATCAAGGATCCGAGCTCTCATTTATTACGGAGTCGCTGGCGCAGACCTTGAAGCTCGAGCGCAGCCGCGCATCGATACCGCTAATTGGCATCGGTGCTCGAAATTCGGACACTCGGGGCAAGGTCGACTGCACGATCCAATCTCGCGTGTATCCGGACTTTTCGTGTCGCGTCACAGCCTATGTTCTCCCGCGACTAACAGCCCGGGTTCCCTCGAACTCAATCCACAACGCTACGTGGCCTCATCTCGAAAAGCTCAGTTTAGCCGATCCTGCCTTCGCCGTCCCGGGACGCGTCGATCTTCTCGGAGCGGATATCTACGGATCGTTGCTCCGTGACGGCCTTCGCAAGGGCACGACCGGTACTCCGGTTGCTCAGTTAACCGCGCTCGGTTGGATAATTTCGGGGCCGGTCTCGATATCGCGACCGAGGAGTCTCGCTTACTCGATTTCTCGCTCAGACGAACAGCTCAACGAACTCGTGGAAAGGTTCTGGCAACAAGAGGACATCTCTCAACCCTCGAGCGCGCTTCTCTCAGAAGACGAAGCGCGATGTGAGGAACATTTCAAAAGCACGCATTCTCGCACTCAGTCCGGTAGATACATTGTACGATTGCCGCTCAGTCAAACGCCGAAGGATTTCGGAGACTCTCGCTCAATCGCTTGTCGAGCGCTAACTCGGATGCAACGTCGATGTGCGTTGAACCCGGAATTTGCGAAACTCTATACCAACTTTCTCGCGGAGTACGAAACACTGGAACACATGAGCCGTGTTTCGCCTAACGAGACTGAGCCGGGCCGCGTTTTTTATCTACCACATCACGGAGTTTTGCGCGAAACAAGTGCGACGACCAAGTTACGTGTCGTTTTTAACGGATCACAACGAACAAACGCCGGACTCTCACTCAACGACTGTCTCTACTCGGGTCCGAAATTGCAGACCGAACTCTCGGACGTGCTCCTCCTTTGGCGACGACATCGATTCGTTTTCTCGGCGGATATCGAAAAGATGTTTCGTCAGATCCTCGTGGACTCTCGGGATTGGGATCTTCAGCGCATTCTCTGGTCTCCGGACGAGCACACCGCACCCGTCTCTTACCACCTCCGCACCGTAACTTACGGTCTTGCGTGTGCTCCGTACCTCGCTCTTCGAATCCTGAAACAACTTGCTGCTGATCTAGGACCGCACTATCCTCTCGCTCAGGAGATCCTCGCGGAGCAGATTTACGTGGACGACGTTCTGTCGGGTGCAGACTCTCTGCCCCTCGCTCGCGAGAGGATAAATCAATTGGATGCCCTCCTGACGGCGGGCGGCTTCAAGTTGCAAAAGTGGGTCGCTAACGAGCCGACCTTGCTTGATTCCATCGACCGGGAACGACGAGCGGACATGAATTCGCTCTCCATTGACGACAACACGGTCTCTCGCGCTCTCGGACTTCTTTGGCAAGTGAAACAAGATCAATTCGGTTTTCGCGTTAAGGGTATCCCGGTGCCGCAGACTTGGACAAAGCGCTCGGTTCTATCAGTCATTGCCCGACTCTTCGACCCCCTGGGATGGCTGAGTCCAGTCACGGTCACGGCTAAAATTTTCTTTCAAAAATTATGGCTTGAAAAGCTTGGCTGGGACGAGGAGCTCCCAAGCTCAGTATCTCGACAGTGGAGCAGGTTCCACGAGGAGCTTCCCGCCGTTGAGACTATATCGGTGCCACGATGGTTCGGGGGTTCTTCGAATCCCGCGGACTTCGTCGAGCTGCACGGATTCTCGGACGCCTCTACAGACGCTCTCGCCGCTTGCGTCTATCTCAAGGTTTGCGACGGCGAAGACAATTTCAAGGTCAATCTCGTTGCCGCCAAAACTCGAGTCGCACCACTCAAGCCTATGACTGTTCCGCGGCTTGAACTCTCTGCGGCGGTCCTCTTGGCGCGTCTGATCTCACGGATTCGAGACGTGCTTAAATTGCATCACGCTCCACTTTTTCTCTGGACTGATTCTACGGTCGCTCTCACTTGGATCAAAGGGCCTCCGTCGCGTTGGAAGGATTTCGTACGCAATCGGGTGGCACAAATACAAGATCTCGTGCCTTCCGGAAGCTGGCAGCACAATCCCGCAGATCTAGCGTCACGAGGAATCATTCCACGCGCCCTTCAAGCATCTTCCTCCTGGTGGCACGGACCATGCTGGCTGCTCGAGACCCCTGCTGCATGGCCCGTAACCACGTCGCTTGACCATTCACGGGACGATCTTGAGGAGCGGAAAATCAGGGCGAACGTTGCTCAAACCTCGCAAATCTCAGAATTTTGTCTGATCCCAGATAAATTTTCTACACTTCGGAAGTTACTCCGGGTAACGGTCTGGGTATTACGCGCTGTAGCTCGATTTCGCTCACGCTCATCTCTCGATATCAGCACTCCTCTACTGCCCGAGGAGATATCTCACGCGCTCAACTTCTGAACGCGCCAATCGCAATCCGCCGACTTTGCCACGGAATTACGCTGCTTGAAGGATGGCCTCGAGGTTCCGCGCACCAGCGGTCTTCTTCGTTTCTCTTCGTTTCTCGACTCAGACGGAACTCTTCGAGTCGGCGGTCGCTTACGGCACTCAAATCTCGATGCGGATGCAAAGCATCCGGCTATTCTCCATCCAAGGACTCGTCTAGCGACCCTCATCATCGCAGAAGCTCACACTCGGACCCTCCATGGAGGAGTTCAATCAACTCTCGCTACCATCCGAAGAAAATTCTGGATCCTTGGCGGTCGGAGGTCGGTACGAGCACATATACTGCGCTGCGTTGCATGTGCGCGACAGCGCGCCCAGACGGCGCAGCAATTGATGGGCGAACTTCCGAAGACACGAGTTTCTCCTTCGCGTCCCTTTCATCACGCTGGCGTGGACTATGCCGGTCCGTTCCAGATCAAGGCATGCCACGGCAGGACGAAGAAGACGTACAAGGGCTATCTCGTGGTCTTCGTGTGCTTCTCTACCTCTGCAGTGCATCTCGAACTGGCCACGGACTACAGCACTGCTGGGTTTCTCGCAGCGTACCGGCGGTTTGCGGGTCGGCGTGGGGTCAGTGCAACGATTACGAGCGATTATGGGACTAATCTAGTCGGTGTTGACGCGGAATTGCGTCGCCTCTTCTCCGCGGCCACGAAGGATTGGCGGGAACTCGCCAGTCAACTGGCTACTGACGGGACTCAGTGGCGTTTCCATCCTCCTGGAGCACCTCACTTCGGCGGCAAATGGGAAGCGGCGGTCAAATCCGTCAAATTCCATTTGCGTCGCATTTTCGGTTCAAACCTTCTTACTTACGAAGAATTCTCAACTCTTTTGATACAGGTGGAAGCCGTGTTGAATTCCAAGCCTCTCTGCTCCCTCTCGGACGATCCGGAAGATCTGTAGCCGCTGACACCAGGCCATTTTCTTATCGGAGGACCGATTACGGCCCCTCCGGAACCATCTCTATTAGAGGTGGCTCACTCCCGGCTGTCTCGATGGCAACTTGTCCGGCAAATGTTGGACCGATTTTGGCAGCGCTGGTCAACGGAATACATCCAATGCTTTCAAGGCATTTCAAAGTGGCAACGGCGAGAGGACTCATTGCGGCAGGGTACGCTCGTCCTCATCCTGGACGAACGCTATCCACCTGCCAAATGGCCGCTAGGGCGAATCATCGATGTACACAAGGGATCGGATGGCCTTGTACGAGTGGTGACGGTTAAAACCGCCACCTCCACACTCAGACGACCGATTGTAAAGATCTGCCCCTTGCCGGTCGAGACGCAATGCGCAAAGACGGACGTAAATTCAAGGTCCGCAGTCGGTTCGTCCGATTCGTAGGAAATTTGCCGCACGTTATGCAGCAAGGCGGGCGGTAAATGTTGCAAAATGCGCCTCAAAAATCTATCTTATAAGCGCAGTAGCGAATGTGTTATGTTGTATCAAATTTTCGATCGTGACTTTGCGCAGAGCGAGGCGCCATGTGCTTGCATCATGCGACACATTCTACCG